CGACGATGCCTTGCGAGGATTAACGACCGACCTTTTCTCTTTTTTTTTTTGGCTGATGAATTCCGTCAGGTTCTGGGCGGTGAGACGGCGGCGGGTGACCATAGGGCAACGACCTTAACTTCCGGAGTGAACTCCGGCGGAGGTGGATGGAAAAGGCTGCGTTTTGGAATTGTGGGTTATTTTTTGAAAATTTGATGTGTTTTAAGGGCTTAGTTGTAATTTATCTAAGCTTAGTTTATTTCAATTTAATACTTGGGGTAAATTTGTTATATGATAAAATTTTAATTAATGCACTATAATGTGAGAATGTGCACATTAAAAATAATGTCATATTTTTTATGATATATTATATTTTCAGATATCTACTTACTTAGTAGTTCACTAATTTGTCAAAATTCCATCTCGTTTAGTTTTTTCATCGGTTGATCTGGCAAAACCGATTGATTTGAAATGTCAAAAATCGATTTAATCTTTTCAATCTTTCGAAAAAGCAAACTGGACAAAATTTTGTCACAATATATACTAAAATCGAACCAACAATCGGTTTGTTTTGTCGGTTAAACGAAATAACAATATTAACTTAAATAAATTATATTATTTATTGCAAAATATTTTTAGTTTTTAATATTTTGTTATTTAATATATTATATTATATTTTTATGAAAACAAAGTATATATGTAAACGAAATATTATGTGCAATCTAACAGTTTTTAAGGTGCAATTCGTTCAATACTATGGTGCATGGTGTCGGTCTTTATGGTGCATATGGAACCAAACGATTTTTTTTAGAACAAATAGAAGTTGAACATATTAATTGGTTTATTCGGTTCGGTTAACCGAATTATCCTAAATAATATAAAAATATTTAAGACGATTATATTTAATATGTTATAATTTAATTTATTACTTTTACATTATTTATGATTAAAAAAATTCGGTAGGTTTTGCTCTATGTTATGCATTCTGATAGTCGCCATAAAGTGCAACGCTTTGTATTATAAAATGCAACATGATATTTTATAAAATGAATCGTGTTAATATATAAAGTGGCCTACTGTAATTTTGTTACATTAGAATGCTTGTGCTTTATGTGAACAACTGATCTGATATTTGTTAAAGTATTATAGTGTATATGGAATCAAACGATTTTTTGTTTAAAACAGATTGAAGTTGAACATATTAAATTGTTTATTCGGTTTGGTTAGCCGAATTATCTTAAATAATAAAAAAAATATTTATATTACGATTATATTTAATATGTTATAATTAATTTATTACTTTTACATTATTTATGATT